AGATGTTGATGGTGTGGTTTTATTGTCACAAACTAGCAATGGTCTCAATAGACTATCTAATCCTTCCTAATTAACTATTTTTACAAAGAATGGGCTAAAATAACTAATCTAAAATTAAAACCATATTTCTTGAGATGGCATCTAGATTTTATTTAATTCATTGTCAAAAATCCCATGAAAGTTTGATCATTTTGTTACATAGGGGTACATTTTGCAACTTCCAAATGATAATAGGTTTTCCAGAAAGATAATATTCCTCAAAATCATGTTTCATGGGCACATTATAGAAGTTTTTCTGTGCCTATGGTGGCTAACTGGTACTTTCTGCTTTGAAGCATTTCCAGCCCAGCTATCTTGACCATGTTTAGGAGGCATGAGATTTAGGGGTTTTCGTCTTGGTACCAGTTAAGGCTTTTATGTAGCAAGTGATGGAAAACCCAATCCATTCTCTCTTGAGCAAAAATGGCTTACGTAATGGAAAAAGTCCAAGAGTAGTTCTGACTTGAGACAGAGCTGCATGGGAATGCATATGACCTAAATAGGGCTCATTTCTGATCACAATCTAATGCCTTTTACTGACCTGGGTGTCACGTGGTAACTAGATGGCCATGTCAGCTCAGCCACCACATCCTCTCAGCATCAAGCCTCTTTCCAAAAACCCCTGGCAAAAGTATCTGACTGGCCATGTATCGATCCCTGAATCAATCACTAGGGCCAGGGAATATGATGTACTGACTGGCTTAAACCTAGGTCACACACTCCACCCCAAGTCAGCTGTGGTCGGCTTCACCAGAACCACATGGGCTAAGAGCTGGGAAGGGAATGGTTCCTCAGAGGGAAATCTGAGTGAGATTATCAGAGGTCGAATGAAGGAAGCAAAAGTAACAGATGGCCATTACGCCATCCATGTATTCATGTGCTAGAACTCTTGGCTTCCTAAGAAAAATCCTAGCTGTCCTTGGGTCTTCTCCGTGAAACCAGATCAGAGAGAGCCATCCCCCAGCCTGAAAAGAGCTAGTCCTTTGTAGGATTTCTTTTGCTGAATTGTACTGTATTGGGATTTTCCACGGAGTCTAAGACGCAGCCCTCTGCAACTTGTAACATATGTAAACCTGTTTGGTTTGTTGACTTGTGCACAAATGATCAAGTTCACACATGTATTAGCATAAGCAAAAGTGTTTACTTAGCTCCAAGGATTTGTGTACAGAGGTATGGAGAGATCTACTAGGAAAGAGACTCAGTTATCAGGGGAGTCTCTATCATGTTGGCCTGAGGAACACTGCACATCTATGGAGTTGGACGAGTTGTGGAGGGCCTCCTTAGGTCTGCCAGGTTCTTTCTAGACAGGATGACTCTATGCTTTATTGTTCAACCTGGGACACTTCTGAGATTGAAAGGGGGGCTCACAGGCATAAGCTGGAACTTTGCCAGGCACACTGGGGCATGTTTCTAGGTGTGTGGCAGCAGTGAACCTAGTGTAACGATGCTCATCTGAACATATTCAACATAAGGTACGTATTCCATGTGCACAGAATATGTCTGAATACATTTCAACTCATTGGTAGCTTTAGACAACTGCCCTTGTGAAGTTCAGTGTCTGGGCAGGCCCCAGAATATCTTTCATTGTGTTTATTATCAGGATGTTACTATCAGAGTGCTTCACAGTATATTTTTATAAGAGGATCCTTGTGAGAAATTCTTACCTGATCTTAGTACCGAGAATTGTTCTTCCTGTACCTGGATTTACTTTAATCTTATGGACATTGTGAATGGTGGGTCTGACCAGGTTTCTCTTTCTGCCTTGGCTACTGAGAAGCTTAAAGTTAAATGTGTGGCCTACCCAAAGTAAGTGTGTTGGTCATCATGGCATGCACTTGTAGCCTTACTCCTGACTCCATTTTGTATCCCCCATCCTTGGGTTTCTTTCATATAACTTTTCATTTACATGATCTTGTACCTTAGGCTTTCTTGTTAGTCACTTTAAGTCCCATGAGTAAAAGACAGATACTCCCCAACCCGACTGCCTACAGAGGTGGGGTGGCCATCTCTTCAGTTGACTCTTTAGTTTTTCAAGAGGATGTTGACTCTGCAATCTGAGTTGACCTTGAAAGTGTATGGATCTCTAATTCAAACAAATCATCAGGGAGAAAATAATGAGACCACTGAATTTGAACACCGACTATTTGATGATATCGAGAAATTTTTATCAAAGTTGTTTAGGTGCGATCATGGTATGGTGGTGATGTTTTTTAAAAGTGAGTTTCGGGGGCCAGCCTGGTGGCATAGTGGTTAAGTTCGAGAGCTAAGCTTCGGCAGCCCGGGGTTCGTGGGTTCGGATCCCGGGCGTGGACCTATGCACCACTCATCAAGCCATGCTGTGGAAGAATCCCATATACAAAATAGAGGAAGATGGGCACAGATGTTAGCTCAGGGCTAATCTTCCTCAGCAAAAAGAGAAAGATTGGCAACAGATGTTAGCTCAGGGCCAACCTTCCTCACCAAAAAAAAATAAAAGTGAGTTTCTTACGTTTTAGAGATATATATTGAAATATTTACAGCCAAGTCTATAATGGCCAAGTCTGACATTAGATAAGGAAATATAATTCTTTCCCAGGGAGGGGCAACAAATATTTTTGAACCAACTAGTCTCTCATACTCCCCCCTCCCCTCCTCTGGGAATGAGGCCAATAATCAACATTTTAAAGACTCCAGCTGACTCTAACACAGGTCCTCAGATTTCACCCTGAGAAACTCTATAATGATATAAAACTCTAGAATGATATTCTTTCCACACTCGAGCGCCAGAAAAGCTTTGCTTACTCTGAGAGACCAGGCCATTTTCTCAGGATTCCATATACCTCTTGTGTTTATTTCTTTTTTTTTTCCCTGAGGAAGATTCACCCTGAGCTAACATCTGTTACCAATCTTCCTCTATTTTGTATGTGAGCCACCACCACAGCATGGCCACTGACAGACAAGTGGTGTAGGTCCGCGCCCAGGAACCAAACCCAGGCCGCCGGAGCGGAGCGGGCTGAACTTAACCACTAGCTCACTAGGGCTGGCCCTATATTTCTCATCGTTGGCAACACTTTCAGAGAATGATAGTTTTGAGTCCTACTCCACAAAACAAGCACTCTGGTCAGTCAAGTTTGTGGTAGGCCACATACCTCATTGAAAAGTCTGAGTATTCCTGCAGTAAAGAATCCTGTTTAAATTTATCTGCTCCATCATTTCCCAAACTGAACACAGAGCCCTTTTTATGAATGCCTATTAGTAGTTCACATTGAGTTGAAATTTCAAACGTACCTAGGGTTGTTAAGGAGGTTACATTTTTATGTTTTCAATTCATCATTGCATTGACAGCCACTTCTCAAGGTACACCTTCTAATGCCCCCATACTCCCTGTAGAGAAATAGTCATATAACAAAGCAGTCAATTTAGAATCTGAAAACCTGTATTTAGAAATTTTTTTTTAATTTTATTTTTTTCCCCCAAAGCCCCAGTAGATAGTTGCATGTCACAGCTGCACATCCCTCCAGCTGCTGCACGTGGGATGCAGCCTCAGCACGGCAGGACAAGCGGTATGTCGGCACGTGCCCGGAATCCGAACCCAGGCCGCCAGCAGCAGAGCACGCACACTCAACTGCTAAGCCACAGGGCCAGCCCCATGAAAACCTGTATTTAAATGCTTGTGTCACTGTGTACCAGCCATGTGACCTTGAATATGCCACTTAATCCGAGCTTCAGTTTCTTCACCTGAAAATTGGGAATAACAGCTGTCCAACCGCTACACTGTTGTGAGGATCAAAGATAGCACATAAGAAATTATCTAAATCTGCAAATGGTTTCAAATAACAATATGTTTATTCGAGGCTTAGGCCAGAGCTGTTTACAACTGGACATGAACCAGTTGTCTGGTCTGCTTCACAGCCCAGATTATGGCACTAACCCAGCAAATGACCTGGTGCACGCATGAAAACCTGCACGTGTCCTCGTGATCCAGGTGCATCAGCATGTGTCTATGCAGCAGACAACACCCTCCCCTATTACAGATCTCTTCTGCTCTGGCCAAATCAGAGGAAGAAGCTATCATTTAACTCCCTTCCTTTTGTCTGTCCACACATATGACACTAGACAAAAACAGGATTCCACAGCCATACCAATCCTGATTAGCAAGGTGTAGAAACCAGTTGCATTGTCTGCCACTGCACTAGGAATCTGGGATAATTGTCAGTGTCCTCTTTTGCCCCTACTACAGGATATTGGATTGCTAAATCATTGTCAATACACCCATCTGATGAAATTAGGCCCATAGAGGCCACTAGAGTTAATATCAGGGATGAATTCAGGAACGCACACTAAGGCCTTCTTTGGCCGAGAAGCAGAGAACCAAGGTCCTTGTCTAAATGGCTCAAGCTGGGCCGGCCCCGTAGCTTAACGGTTAAGCGCATGCGCTCCGCTACTGGTGGCCCGGGTTCGGATCCCAGGCGCGCACCGATGCACCGCTTCTCCGGCCATGCTGAGGCCATATCCCACATACAGCAACTAGAGGGATGTGCAACTACGACATACAACTATCTACTGGGGCTTTGAGGGAGAAAAAAAGGAGGAGGATTGGCAATAGATGTTAGCTCAGAGCCGGTCTTCCTCAGCAAAAAGAGGAGGATTAGCACGGATGTTAGCTCAGGGCTGATCTTCCTCACAAAAATAAATAAATAAATAGCTCAAGCTTTTTCTTTGAAAAAAGACAAGCTAGAGCACATGAAAAGACCTGCGATTTCTGGCAAGTCTCCTCATTCAAACTATAGAGACAGTAACATCAATATTCATATTGCTAAAGAAGGTATGACCCTGATACTTGCTTTATGTCTTCTAACTTTTCAGTGGATATTTTCTCTTTTACAATTCGGATCATCTACTCCTTCCCCACCCCAACACTATAAAAAAAACTCGGCATAAATAGCCACTAGGTAACACACTCCTGGAGTTAAAGAGAAAAATGCCAGAGAGCAAAAAAAAAAAGTACTCGAGCAATCACCAAACAAAAGTTGTTTATATTTATTTAATGCTAACAACACAGATATCCTAAAAAAGAAACAGACAATTAAGAAACAGAGTTTTTTCTAAACAGGATTTTGATCAAAAAAACTAGTGATTCAAACCTCTAAAACAGAAGAGCACACAAATCTATATAAATGCAAAACATATTTTACCTCTTACCGGAATTAACCTGAGAACCCCTAAACATTCTCTTTAAAAGATATCAATATTAAAATCGTGCAAAGAAACTGTACCCATAGTGTTTAAACCATAAAAACCAATACCTGGTTTATACATGACAAAAATAAAAGAAAACGAAAGCATGTAAAATAATGTGCAGTTTATAGAATTCAAAGGAAATCAGGGTAACTAAGTCAGGCGGAAGAAGGCAGTTGGGACAGGAGACCTTTGTAAAGCAGGACGCTCTGACCGTGTCCACTGCGAGCCCGGATGAAGCCAGGGGCTCTGAACACTGAGCAGTCACTGATAGGAGGGATAAAGTGCGATATCTCTAACAGCCAGCAAATTAACTGATGCTCTGGCAAAAGTTCCAGAATGAAAACCGAGGTAGTTTTCAGTGAGGAATGTTCTCCTTGAGAGCATGGCCAGCATGTTGTTGAGCCGGGACCTGATACCAGCCAAGTGAAACTGCCGCTCTTGATTCAAGTTTCTGAATGAGTCTCTTAAGCACAGATCCAAGTAGGGGGCAGCCCAGTACTTGGGATGTCCAGGAGGGACGAAGTCAGTGGCTCCGATGGAAGTCTGGGAGCCGATGGAGCTTGCCACGGAGCCTTGGGAAGACAGAGAGGAGGAGGACTTCAGACTGGAGGACCGTGACACAGACATCTTTGATACCGGTGACCCTTCTTTAGACTGGGTTCCCTGAGAAAAGAGAACGTACTCGTCCACGTCAGTCTGGGTGGTGGCCGACGTGGACCGAACCATGGTTTGGGAGCTTGCCACCCTGGTGGTGACTGTGGTTTGTGTCCCAGCACACGTGGTGGTGGTACTGGTTTGTGTTCCTGCATCGCTCACACTCACTGCTGGCATCTCGTCCCCTGGCTCTGTCTGAGTGGTGGCATCGGTCACTTTTCCACCCTTTGGTTCATCCTTGCGGCTGCTGAAGTAGTCTTCCTCACTGATGGTGGAGGACTCGGAGTCGTGGCGCCTGGCCTCTGCCCTGCCCTCGGCGGGCGCCTCGCACTCCAACTCAGCCTTCTTGGGGGTGCTTGAGAGCCTGGCCAGACGCAGCCGCAGCAGGTTGCCCAGCGTGAGCTCCTTGGGCAGTGGTTTTCGGTCAACTAGATGGTCAAACCTGCCACTGATGCGGAAGTTGGACAGGAGTTTGGAGCTGATGGGCTTTGATTGTGCATATAAGATTCGGAACTCCAGATCAAAGTGTTCAACCACTTGGCCAGACAGAATGACCAAGTTACTGCTGTTTAATTTGCCGTCTGTCCATGTAAAACTTAAGGATTAAAAACAAACAAACAGAAGCTGGTAAGGATGAGCAACCTTAGTTTACTTATTGTCCAAGAGTAATAAAGCCCAGATATCCTGGTACATAAGAGTCACAACGCTGGTGATAGCATACCTACATTTAGTGTGAATTCAACTGGCTTTAACACAAGTATATAACATATGCATACATAAACAAATGTTAACATAAAAGTAAAAAGGCTAACTGTTTAACCAACACACTAAAACTCGCACATCCTCAGCCTCAGAGTTTTTAAAAAGTAGAAAGGGCTTCTAAAATATTCAGGCCAGCGCCCGCATTTTAGAAGTGAGGAAACCGGCTGACACATGTCACCACTGGGAGCTAGTGGGAGACCCCAGATTAGGCCCAGGGCCTTAAGAATCGATGCTGTTTTCACAAAGAGAGATGGTATTGTGATTCTAATGCTGAGCTGATTAGCAGCCATGTGCCCCTGCCTGTCCAGCATCCCTTTTCCTTCCTCTCGTGACAGAACCCCGGCCATCCCAGCTGAGAAGACTTGCATTTATGTGACCTCTCCAATCACAACAGGGGTGGGCATATGACCCAGGTTGGCCAGAGTATCTTATCCCCTTGGATGTGAGGATCTATCCAGGGTGGGCATGTGACCCAGCTAGGACTAAGTAATTTTTCAAGCACTGATACCAGTGCTAGGAGAAAGTAAGTCTCTCTTTGGGAGATAGCTACTAAAGGCCACAGAAGTAAGCCTGGATCTTTGCCTTCAAATGGAGAGCCTGACTGAGAATAAAGATCCACTAGAGAAAAGCAGAACTGGGAGACAGTGTTCTGATAAATGTATGGCCTCTAGGTCAAGACGAACTGAAAACCAACTGGACCTTTCTACACTTCCAAGTTACGTGAGTCAATAAAATCCATTTTGCAGAAAGTAGTTTAAGTTAGCTTTCTGCACTTGCAATCACCCCATTCATACAGAGATTTATATTAAAAGTAGTATGTTTTAAATGAGAGTCATAAAACATAGTATCAACTGTCTCTCGCAACCAAGAATCCTGGCTAATGCACAGTCTGCCTTGAGAACCGGCTTCAAAGCCTGAGAAGGAAGATTCCTTTGAAAACTCTCAATGAGATAATGTAAATAAGACACCTATCCAACACCAGGATTATAAAATATCCTCAACAAATGGAAGCTGTAATCTTCCGCCTCCTACCTGTAGAGGGTAGTTTTTATATTTTTATATTTTACAATAGCCAAAAACCATTTGGAGCTAAGTTTGGTTAATATAGATAAATGCTACTTTGGGTGAAAATCTAGTTTCCTCCTGTTATTTAAAAACTCCTTATGAAAGGAAGTCTCAAGGAAGAGTTCACCCTTTGTTCTGAGCCATGATGGTACTATTTGAAAAGAAACGCATCACGAGTGTCTTGATCGTATTGCCTCATTTTCCACAAATCTTTGCATGACCACCTTTACCCAGAGCTGACATACAATTATCACTCAGGAATGTGCATTTCTTCAAAAATGAGTTTTTCTTTTTTAAACTCAAGAGACACAGCCTGTGCATACCATCAGACAATCTAAGGCAGAGGCAGCAAACACACTTCCATTTGAGCCGCATAAGTACAAATGGTGTATCCTAACTTCTGAGATGAGTGTTAACCGCTCGTTATCTCCACCCTCTATTCAATTCCCTGCACTCTACTAAGACGCCATTGCCAACGTGAGGCTTCAAAGGTGGAGCCAGATACATGGATCAGTACTTTCCAGACTAAAGCACTAAATTACAAGGCTTGAAGCGAGGTGAAGGATTTAAGTGTAAGGTGACAGCTTCGGCTCTGCCCTCCACACTGATGCTGATGCCTGCAACTGCCCTTACCTTCAAGTGAGCAGGGACAAGGGGGGTCAAAGTCCCCAAGGAACAGGACTCGAGATTGTTCCTGTCACTGTTAACCCCAATTCATCCACTGCAGGCCTGGCCCATTTTCAAAACCTCTTATCACTAATTTTTCATCTTGAATCTAGGACTCTGGGATCTCCAAGCAAGTTTCAACCTCTGCACTTTAGTTTTGTGGACCACAGGGCAGGGGAGGTAACCCTCACCCTGACTACCTCCTGCAGGAAGAGGCTTTGATTAACCTGCTCACTTACTCATAAGCTACTCATTCATTGGAATGCTTGGCCATAAAGGCTTGCATCGAGAGGAAAAAGAAGCTTTTGCCTTTATAGCATGCTTCTTCTAAAAAGTTGAGATTAATAAGCTTGGACAGGTTAGAATCTTACCTGTAAGAGCCTGTAGCCACTCGAATGCCATCAATCAATGTGAACTTTTCATGAACCTTCCCAACAATTTTAGTTCCTGACCTCGCATAGTAGATATTTCCAGTAATTGTCCGAACTGTCATCAGCTGTTGGCGGGGAAGGGGGAGAACAAGAAATGAACGATCCAGAGAGCAAATGATTAAGACAAGAGGGCTTAGTTCACAATTCCCAAACAGACCAACTTACTGGCAGATGAGTGGCCCGTGGTCACCATTCAGTAACAAGGCACCCAGTACACTAGCTAGAGGATTCTCGGGACTCAAATAATGCTGCTTCAAGGTTTTGTCCACCTTCTCAGATGCCCTTTCCTTATATTTATTTTTAAGACCCTTGGTTAATGTGCACATGTGCTCTAAAAGAAGACTCACTTTTGCGGGGGATACTAAACAACAGAATCCAAGAAATGACTTTGAAACAAAATGTGAGGGATAAAATCATCAAAGGAAACACTAGTAATAACATTTTTACAAAGGCTTAAAGAAGCTAAGTTAATATTTCTCCTATTCTTTTGTTTAATAGCATCACTAATGAATAATAGCCCATCCTTACTTACACCCACACCATAATGAGTATAGAGAACAAGAATTTGGAACAAGTCTTCTCTGACACAGGACTTCTGAGGCTGGAACACTTATATCACATGGGGCTGAATCAGCAATGTCACATCTCCTACAAGTATGTATTTACCAAAAAAATACTCTGCTAATAACCTGGGGCTACATATTGCATATGTATGCATAATTATCCTTGTAAAATGACACACATAAATATATATATAATGGTATGCAAAATACTAAGACAATCTGCATTCTTCGGAGCCGATCAGTAGCTATATATCTTTAGAAATGTACACATTCAAATTAAATGTTTAAGATTTTTGTTTGACTCTCTCATTCATTCCACAAAGAAAGCCCCTACTATGTGCCAGGCCTTGAGACAATAGAGATATAAGGCATGCTTCTTAGTATAAGGCATGCTCCTGACTGTCAAGGACTAGAATAGGAGAGAGAAAAGTAATAAATGATAAAAAAAAACTATAGCAAGACATAACATCATTCAGAGAAGTGAAAACATACACCCACACAAAAACCTCTACACAAATACTCATAGCAACTTTATTCATAACAGTAAAGAAAGAACTGGAAACCATCCTAATGTCCTTCAGTGGTGAATGGTTAAACAAGCTCTGGTACAACCACACCACATGATACTTACTCAGCAATAAGAAGGAACAAACTATGGACACACGCAACAATCTGGATGGATCTCAAGGGCATTACGCTGAGTGAAAAAAAGCCAATCTCAAAAGGTCATATAATGTACGATTCCATTTATATAACATTCTCTAAATGACAAAATTATAGAGATGGGGAACAAATTAATGGTTGCCAGGGGTTAAAGATGGCAGGGGGGACAAGGAGGGAAGTGGATGTGACTATAAAGGTGTGGCATGAGGGAGATCTTTCTGGTGACGGAATAGTTCTGTATCTTAATGGCGGTTACATATATGCACACATGAGTAAAATGGCCCAAAACTACAGACATTGTACCAATGTCAATTTCCAGGTTGTGATATTATATCATAAGTTACATAAGATGTAACCACCGGGGGAAACTGGGTGAAAGATACATGGAAACCTCTTTGTACTGTTTGCAACTTCTGTGAATCTGTCATTATTTCAAAATAAAAACAAAAGATAAAACAAAACTATGGCAAGATAAAACATCACTTCTGTGGTATTTCTCACTAAAAGGCATAATCTGAATTAAACCATGAAGAAACATCAGACAAACCCAAATTCTACAGAAAACTGGCTAATAGTCTTCAACAGCATCAAGACTCTAAAAGACAAAGAAAGACCGAGGAACAGTTCCAGGTAAGAGGAAGCTAAGGAGACACAACAACTACAAGGCGTGGTCCTCGACTGTATCCTGGACAAGAAAAAGGGCATTAGTGGAATGATAAGTAAAGTTTGTACTGAGATTTATAAGATGCTAACATTTGGAGAATTTGGGCAATGAGTATTCAGAAATTCCTCAAGCTATTTTTTAACTCCTTTGTAAATCTTAAATTATTCAAAATGAAAATTAAAACAAACAAACAAAGAATTTGCATAAAGGTACATATACATGACAGGGGGAGGGCTTCCTGGAGGAGGTAATGATTCCTGAGCCGAGCTTCAAAGGATCAACATATAACAAGCATAAAAATACCACCATGGGCAGATTCGGGCGTGAGTCTGGGTGTCTTTCCCTCCGGCACTTATCTGAACGTTGTGCAGGCCTCTGGGATTGGGGACAAAGCACTCTTGAGCGCGTGCACACAAATGTGTGAACCAGTTCCTGCAGACAAGACACTCAATGTTCTGAACCAGCCGCAGAGCCAGGGCATGGCAGAAGAAGTCAGTGCCCACCTGGTGAGGGTACAGATTCACCAGCACAGACACGCCCTGGTGAGAGAAGATGGTGCTTCCCTAGGAAGAAGGTAAATGCTGCAAAAATTGGTGAGGCCAGAGGTAGAGACCTTTTGACCCTTCCTAAAGGATCTGGACACCTGTGAAGGCAGCAACCAGCAGTGGCAACTGAGCCAGTAAATACTCCTCGAGTTCTGCTGAGTAGATGAATCAGAGCCAATCACTTGATCAAAGTTGTGGCCCAAACTACTCTGTGATTTTCCTGCTGCTAACACACAGCCTTCATTACAGAAACAGCACCTTGAAATTAAACACTGACACCTTCAATTTCTTCACCTGGCTCTATATGGGCAGTTATAGACTGAATATTTGGCTAGATGATAATGTACTTTTCCACACCTGACTTGTGTTTTCCTTGGGTCCACCTGATCTCATTTTTTAACTGACTTTTGGGTCACATGGCTGGCTCGTTTCATTTGGTCTCCAAGCTCCTATCCTACCTCCATCACGAATTTGCTTTGCGGCAGTAATGACAAATTAGTAACTACCTAATTAAACCCAATCTTCAGTTTCCTCTTTAGGGAAAACCAAGGAGAACTCTGTGGGAGAAGTTAAACAGCCACAATTTTTCAAACCAAATTGCTTGATAATAACCAGGAGGTAAGTTTATGTCCCCTATGCAGTAACCCACAGCACGAAAGCCCAAATTCTTTGTTCTGTTTGCTTACTGCTTTATTTCCAATACCTAGAACAGTGCGTGGCTCATAGTAGGTCACGTAGGTGATGAACTAAGTTGAGGAATTAAGTTCCAAAGGTTAAGCTGCTTAATTGTAAGCACACAGGTTAAGTTGCTTAATTAAAAAAAAAAAAGAATGGTGTTAATAAATATGACCATTTTTCTTGCCTCTTTCCACTGAAGAAAACAAGCTAACTAAGCTGTGTAACCTTATACTTAAATACTTAAGTTCAAATTACTTTCATGGTCAGAGCAAAAGACATAAAAGTCTAATTTTAAAATAATGAGAAATGAGAAGTGGCCTGTGAAGGTGATTAAGAACACTGGGGCTGGGGGCCAGCCTGGTGGTGTAGTGGTTAAGTTTATGCCCTCTGCTTCAGTGGCCCGGGGTTTGCAGGTTCGGATCCCAGGCATGCACCAGCGCACCACTCGTCAAACCATGCTGTGGCGGCATTCCATATAAAGTAGGGGGAGATGGGCACGGAAGATGGGCCCAGGGCCAATCTTCCTCAGCAAAGAGAGGAGGATTGGCAACAGATGTTAGCTCAGAGCTAATCTTCCTCAAAAAAAAAAAAACAAAAAAAAAAACACTGGGGCTGGAGGCGGGCAGACAGACAGGGAGCCAAACCCCAGTCCCACTACTTTGTAGTTGTAGACACTGGGCTCTCTGTGTCACCACTTCCCCATCTAAAACATGGGTATAAAGTTACCACTTACCTGGTAGGGCTCTATGAGGTTTAAGTTGCTTAACATTTGTCAAGAGCCTAGGAAGGTGCCAAGGACAGAGCAGGAGCTCCACAACGGTTGGTCATTACAATTAGAACTGGAGCCTACCAGAGCCACTGTCAAAGCCACGCCTTCCAAGGCTGCCTGTCACCATCACCAGTCGAGCTCCTTTTTAGGAGGCAGCACGACGTGGAGGAGAGGCCGAGGTTTGAATCCTGACTGTCGTTTCTTTCCTGTGAGACTTCAGGCAAATGACTTTGCTCACGGCCTCAGTTCCCTCTCGTAGGTGGGGATACCACCACCAACCACCATGTAGATGGGTCATTATTTGTTGACTGTGGTGAAATGAGAAACAGTGTAACACAAACCTTTTCCTGTTCAGGATGAACTTTCAGATCCATGCACATATCCAAAAACTGGGAGAGCAGGGCCTGGTCCAGAAGGATGTATACAGCCACTCCCTGCTTCCGACATATTTCCTGCAGGTCTCTGAAGATGTCGATGTCAGTGAACACATCCATCACCACAGCAATCACCTACAGGGGGAGGGGAGGGGAGTGCACGCTGTCACCTCACGAGAACCCCACCATACAGCTCGTTGTCTGACTCTGGGCCCCATCTCAGAGCTGGGAAAGGATCCCCAGCCTACAATATCCTTCCTTCTCCTTCTGCAATATTGGTTTTCCCCCACCACAGACTCCTCTCCATCCCCAAAGATGCTCAGGCCACTGTATCCTACAAACCTTGACTTGGCCCAGCTAACCCTCCCAACCGCCTCCAGCCACTCTCCTCCAAACTGGCAAATTTCTCAAAAATATAGATTAACCCACTGCCCTGCAGTCCTATGAACCTGTTTCACTCAACTTCTCTTCCTTAACTAAAACTCCCACCTTACAGGCCGGGCTCAGGCCAGCAAGCTGTCTAGGTTCTGCACCTAACACACCGTCATCTTAGGCATGTTGCTTCTCCACCAGGTTCAGTGTTCTATGTCTATAAAACAATAAAACCTTAGCTTCTCTCTGAGGCCCCTTCTGGGTGTAACATTCTCCAAGTCTGTGATTTTGATTATCTAATTTTGGATCATAATTTGATTTTTTATTACAATCTAGAAAGGCCCACCCCATCCACCACCAACTCATGGCTTGAAACTGATCAAACCAGGCAAGCAGATTCTCCCATCTTCCGCTTCTACTAACGCTGCATACCACATTTTCACGTTCTACTCCCTCCACTAGTGAGGATCTAACCACATAGCTTCTACAGCACCAGCCTCCCCTCTATAAAAGGTGGTCTCTGTAGTCCTTTGGTATCTGTCCACAGTGCAAGCCTGCAACAAGAACAGGGAAATATGTCCTAAGGATTCTGCCCTGAGGCTTGGACTTCTCCCCGAACGTGGCTCCATCATGCCTCCTGATCCATTTTCCACACTCAGCACTAGACTACACTTAAGAGCTGCCTCAGCCATGTGGCCTTGGACAAATTACAGCTGTTTCGAATGTCTGTTTTCTTAGCACAAAATCAGTCTGCAATGAGAACTAAATGACTATGTTACAAAAGACCCCTTAAGTATCTGTTCATTGATTCACCTTACCAGCCCAGAGTTCAAGCCATCCAGACAGCTCAACTCAGGGAGACACACCCGCCAACTCCCAGCTTTCCCTGCTAAAGAAAGACTGCTCCAGCCGCAAAGCCTCTAATCAGACCCTTTGCAGATTGAAAACTGTGGTCCTCAGCTAACCCCTGGCAGGGCTGTGGGGGAGTCAAAGCATCCAGGCTTAGAAACAAGTCCCTGCAAACCGAGTCAGGGCTGGGGGTGTTAGCCAAAGAAACCGCTCCCTGAATCCCAGGTTTGGAGCTCTCCTGCAGTCTGGAGCTGAGTACTGCTCCTTCCTCCTGATCAGCAGTAAAAACTTTTCTCTTAGCATCATATTAACTTTTTATGAATGTTACGGTAATTTATTTATAGGTCTCACCTCTTCTACGGGAACAGAGGTCCTTGTACGGGACTGATTCATCACCGTGGCCCCAGAGGACTCGGGACGGTACCTGACAGTCATTACCCACTAAGCATAGAGAGGCTGAAGAGGAAACACAGAGACAAAGAGGCGATTTTGCTGTCTTTCTCCAACACCCCCAAGTCTCATCTACCAGGATGAGGGACTCTGCTCCTGGGAAGTCACTGCTGTGAAGGAGTCTGGAAAGACCAATTTCTCTCTTGGGCTGCCATCCCCCTCGCCTCCCCAATGTTGATGAAGCCCCAGCTGCGAGCTATTCTTGGTAAAGGGTACAGCTAAACCCAGTGGACACAGTGATTTAAAAAATAACAAGCACGGGGCCGGCCCTGTGGCTTAGTGGTTGAGTGCGTGCGCTCTGCTACTGGCGGCCCAGGTTCGGATCCCGGGCACACACCAATGCACCACTTGTCAGGCCATGCTGAGGCCACGCCCCATATACAGCAACTAGAAGGATATGCAACTATGACGTACAACTATCTACTGGGGCTTTGGGGGAAAAACGAAAAAAGGAGGATTGGCAATAGATGTTAGCTCAGAGCCGGTCTTCCTCAGCAAAAAGAGGAGGATTAGCATGGATGTTAGCTCAGGGCTGATCTTCCTCACAAAAAAATAAAATAAAATAACAAGCGTACTTTCTGAATTGGTGGAATCTTCAGAAGTTTATATCCTCCGATGCGTTTTTACATGTCCTATTTTGAGTTGTGTCTATCCCATTCATTCAGCTCATGTAACATGGTGGTTAAAAGGCAGAAAGGCCTGGGCACAGATCCCAGCTCTGTGGCCTACTGGCTGCGTGACCCTGGGCAAGTTGCTTAATCTCTAAGCCTCATTTTCCCCCTCTGGAAGATATGGATCATAGCACCTATGTCAAAGAGCTGTTGTGAGCATTAAATGAGACAAACCACGTAAAGGGCTTAGCTCAGGCATGAAAAGGTGTTCACTTATACAGCCAGCATCTCTTCCGAGTCCACTGTGGGCTGAACTCTGAACTAGGCAGAAAGATGGCTATAAGGAATTTGACATAGAGGCTGGCCTGGTGGCACAGTGGTTAAGTTCGCATGCTCTGCTTTGGCGGCCTGGGGTTCGCTGGTTCAGATCCTGGGTGCGAACTGCTCATCAAGCCATGCTGGGCGGTGTCCCATGTACAAAGTAGAGGAAGATGGGCACGGATATTAGCTCAGAGCTAATCTTCCTCAGCAAAAAGAGGAAGATTGGCAATGAATGTTGGTTCAGGGTCAATCTTACTCACCAAAAAAGAAAAAAAAAAGAATTTGACATAGACCCAACTTATCCACAAAGAAAGGACATGATGCAGGGAAGCCAAATGATACATAACGGGCAATTAAATCAGGAGAACACTTATGGGGGGCAGTGGGGAGACACTAAAGCCTCTCCCTTGCAGCGGTGGACGCACCACAGGCACTCAAATGTTTATCACAGAGGGACTCCTGGAGGAGGTGGCATTTGAGCTGAATCACAAGTAAGGACGAGATTTGGACAGAAGAGGAGTGAAGGGGAGGGCATTCAGGCAGGAAGCCAAGTGATGACAGAGGAAGAGGTACGAAATGATGGGGTATGCACCAGTTTGGCTGGAACGAGGAGTATGCATGAAAGGGAGTGACAGGACCTGACTGGGAGACGGGTGAACAAGCAAGACCATAGGAGGCCTTGAATGCCAACCAAGGAAGCAGTGTCATACAGGCAACGGGGGAGGAGGTTCAAGAAGAATGCCGAGTTCAAAGTGATGAACCCAGCAGGGCAGAAGCTGACATGGCCCCACCTCCTCCACATAGGGCCACACACCCAAGTGCCTACAACACAGCAGCACTTAGGTATTTTTTAGGTTCAGCAAACATCTAGGAGGACTAAAAACCAAAAGAAGAAAAATCAGTGATAGAGGTTTTGATGATGGGCCAGGCAGGAAGCAACGGGGGTTGAAGAGAAGGGAAAGGGGCCTGTGGGAGAGCTGAGCAATGGACTGCCAAGTAATGCTACCATTACAAGCAACAGGCTGGGGGAGAAAAGAAGAGGGAGTGGGTGGCAAGAGGTAGTGGCAGATTCAGGTCCACACAGAGGAAACAAAAAAAGAAACAAGCTTCAGAGAGAGAGGCTTCGAAACTGATCATGAAGTGGCAGTGAAACCTTCGTAGAGGGGTTCTGCACGCACAGGCGTAGGAATGCGAGTAGCGCGCACAGGAGAAGCCAGAGGAAACCAATCTAGGGTCAAGCCCTGCCCTCAGGACACCTGGTCCAATGAGGGAGAGAGGAGACAGCACAGGTGACACCGTGCATGGGGCCCCTGGGCACCCAGGGTGCCACTGGGACAGAGCCGGGAGAACCCACCAGCTGGCCGGGTTAGAGAGGGCTGCAGGGTGGCTGGGGCGGGGACGCGGGAGCAGGACCCACAGTGTAAGGCACCTGCCAAACTGAATTTTGACTCACCTCTTAACAACTGCACAAACAACACCTTTGTTAGGCAGTGAGTAAGTACCGAATTTGCTATTAGTTTCATTGTTTGGTTTTTCTTTCTTTTTTTTTTCTTTTTTGAGGAAGATCAGCCCTGAGCTAACATCCATGCTAATCCTCCTCTTTTTGCTGAGGAAGACCGGCGCTGAGCTAACATCCATGCTAATCCTCCTCTTTTTGCTGAGGAAGACCGGCGCTGAGCTAACATCCACTGCCAATCCTCCTCCTTTTTTTTCCTTTTTTTTCTCCAAAGCCCCAGTAGATAGTTGTATGTCATAGCTGCACATCCTTCTAGTTGCTGTATGTGGGACGTGGCCTCAGCATCGCCGGAGAAGCGGTGCGTCAGTGCGCGCCCGGGATCCGAACCCGGGCCGCCAGTAGCGGAGCGCACGCACTTAACCACTAAGCCATGGGGCCGGCCCTCATTGGTTTTAAAGCCTTAACCTTTCCTTTGTGTGTTGAAAATAATTTGGATTTGATCACTGGTTCCTAACATGCATGGGGTGTTTACAGGGTTGAGGGAGGATTTTTCTTCCCGACTCCGCCTGTACCCACATGCCCTCGTCTTGTCCTAGAGCAGGACTCAGTAAAAGACTTCCGTAGGAGGAACAGCCCTGTGTGCAGAAGCAATCAGCAGGAAGGCCTTCTTTCCTTCAAGACTCCAGCCCCGCTCCCCTATACTGCCCCCATCAGCTCCCTCCAGCCCACATGCAACCAAGCCCTGCAGAGTTGGACTGGACCTGGGGCTTTTCGATCTCTGAAGGGACAGTCTCCTCACTGAGCTGAACAATGACCTGGACTCATTCACTAGCCAGCAGAGTGCCTACTTTCCAAGGCCGGACACCTCTTCTAAGTGCCAGTGTTCATGCTGCAGGCTGCTGGGCCGTAGAAGTACACCTGGACTTAAAAGATGGCATAGAAACCCGTCATTGCTCCACTCCCTGAGGCATAATGTAGGATGGACAAGGGAGAGACACATCAGGAAGGCGGGCATCCCATACCCATCAAGTGCCCATGTGGGCACTGCCCTCTCCCAGCCCGTTCTGCACAGAGCC